CTGCAAATTTGGGAGCCAGCTTCGGAAAAAGGAGATGAGCTACGAAGGAGAGGAGTTGAAAGGACAGTAGAAATAAAGGGAATTGGGGAGTGGGAGGAAGGGCAAGGGGAAATAAGAAGACTGGATCAGTCTAGAAGGAAAAGCTGAGAGAGTAGGGAGCAGAAAAGTAGAAGCTTTTCCTAGAGAAACGAACAGAGAAAGACAGACAGACGGGACGGAGGGAGGAGGGTGGAAAGGAGAGAGAGAGAGAGAGAGAGAGAGAGAGAGAGAGAGAGAGAGAGAGAGAGAGAGAGAGAGAGAGAGAGAGAGAGAGTGTGTTAGTTTGAACTAGTCTTCTCCTTTAGCCTGTGCCTCTCCTGCCAAAAGAAAAGTGTCCAAGTAAGGGAGTGTTCCAATATTTAATCTCCCTCAGAGGAGTTGACCAAGACAAGAGTTTCCTTCACTTCCTTCCCTTTCTTCTCTTACTGTATGTGTGTGTGTGTGTGTAAATCGCTTAAGCCTGGGATTGAAAGGATAAATTTCTTGAGTTTCAAACAAATGTAAAATGGCCCTTTAACTTTTTCCATCTTCTAAAGGCTCAAGTTTTGTGTCAGAAAGTGATTGCTTTGAAATAAAGTGTGTTGACAAGGTTAGTACCTTCACACAAACCTGAGAAACTACTAAAGGGAAATGGTCTGAGATAATCACCCTAAATCAACTCTGCAGCATTTGCAGAATTCCATATAATTAGCAAGAGTTCTTGTCGCAAAGCTTTACTGTGGTTTCTGTCACCAAACCAAGTTATCTGATTGAGTTCTGTGAGCTTTTTGAATGAGGGGGAAACTGTCTAGAAAGACAGCTTCTGAATCTCCAAGGCTGAGGGAACATCCTTGTCAGATATTTCTTGTCCCTAACCCACGTAATACTGTATGGATACTAGAAAATGAGACGAAGCCAGTTGATAACTCTTGTGGCCATATATTTTAGATCTTTCCCCTTTCAGAAATCAAACTCCATATTCATATCCTTATATTTGTCAGGTAAGAAACTTCCAAACTCTCATGAAACCCTAGAAGGGAGAACTTTTTTTTTTTTTTTTAGTCTGAGCTGGCTAAGAACTGAATGTAATCCACGTCCTTGTAATAGAGAAAAAAATCAGCACTGGAGAGTGGACAGCAGCTGTCACTCCAAATGATGACTGAAAAGATTGGGGGTGGGGGAAGAGAAGGGAGTGCACTACAGACAGGGTGACAATTTGGACCCCCACCCAATCTGACAAGGATTTTTTTCCACTCTGAGAATGAAAAAGAGGCTGCCAGAGGAAATGTGGCATTTGGCCTGCCACAGGAGGAGGAGAAAATTAATTAATGAGGCAAAGAAATGTGTCTCCGATCCAGCTGATAGACTCCCTGCCCCCAGAGGCGGAAATTCCTTAGAAATCAATAGCTGGTGTTCTTGTTATCCTCCTATTGATAAGATACGAGGCCATGAGATTGTGGGTTATTTTGGTGGTGTTCATTAAAAGGGGATGTTCATTAAAAGGGGTGGGGGAGGAGACTGGAATCTGTGCCCAGTCTGAGACCCCATGCTAGCATAATTAGCACAAGCAAGGGCTATCTGAAGCAGTGCATCAATTGTAGCTTGCCCATGATTGCCAAACCAGTGGAAACAAAGCAGTAAAATATCACTAAGTCATGGCCAGGCCTACTCTGCATTCCTTTCCCTCACTTTCCCACCCCCACGAATACATATCCCACTTCTCCACACAACAGGAAAAACCTAAGAAAGGTGAGGCAGGGGGAAATGAAAAGAGTGGCACACAAAAAGCAGATTTTTGAATCATAACCTAGCAGGTGGGTAAGTCTAGTTTCCATTAAAGATATACACTCACCCTGACCCCAGTTTCCAAATTAGAGGACAGCAATCCACATGCTTAGGGAAAGAAGGAAAAATCTGAATTCCAGTACCTTCTCCTCTGCTCCTTCTTCTATCAACTAACCAGCAAATATTTATTGAGTGCCCATTTACTCAACACTGTATTAGGTACTATAGATGAATAAAAAGAAGTATAAGCAAAGGTTCTTGTACTTAAAGGGCTTACATTCTAGTTCAGACAAGTGACAAGCACACACAGAGCCTATTAGTCACAACAAATATTAATATTAATAATAATTAACATTTCCATACAAGAGCTTGACTCCTCATTTGAAGAGAATCCCTACCCCCCCATTCCTTGTTCACCCCTCCCTCCTGGAGTTTATGGGATTTTCTGGTTAACCAAACAGAAGTGAAATGGGAGAAAGAAGGAAAGGGGATGGGACAAATGGGAAACAAAGTCACAATCTTTTCATCCTGTTGTCACTATTCTCTTGAAAATGTTCCTCATGAATATATGGTGATTTATAGATGAAACCTTCCTGCCTGTGTTGTGGTTGACCAGAGATGTTGGTTGGAGTCCCAAGTCTTTGCTTTCTCCACCGAAGGCTACATTGTTTTGATCTCAGTCGTCCAGCCCCTCTTCAATTTCTCAAGCTTGAAATCACGCCTGAAGTGTATGAATAGTCCACATCAGGTTGAAGAGGAGTCAGTGTCCCCAAATTCCAGACTCCCAAATCCCAGGTTCCTCCATTTGGAACAACCCTTCTTTTTGTCAGTTGGTATAGTTCAGATGAAATGAGAGTGGATTTCAATTAAGATTTGGTTGATCTTGTACACTCATAATGATGAATACCATGGAACTTGCTCTCCTCAGCCAGAAATGTTCTGTTTCTATTCCATTCCCTATCGAGATAAAGTTGCATTCAGTGATCCCAGGGGGCACCATAATGGATGAAAACACAGCTCCCTCTTGCCCAAGTAATTGAACATGCTTCTCAATTCCCTCTTAGGCTGGAAGGGGAAACAGAGAAAAAAGCATGATGAAGTGGACTTTAAAATTTTTAGCATATAAATGAGTACATATTAATGATACAAATGTGCATGGGGTATAATGCAAAGGGGACAAAAGTCTATGAATGGATATTTGGTTTTGTAGAAATACACATATACGTATGTGTGGATTCATCTAGATTTAGAACATAAGAGATCCAGCTAGTCTTTTTGAAATAACAACAGATTTATTATCTGATCACTGCTTCTCAAAACCAGTCCCTTGCCCTTTGCTTTCAACACTGCTGTCACAGATGTGATAATATCTAGATTGTTATTATCACCCAGGGTAAGCATTAACGTCCCTTGGGATTCTATTCACCTGACTATTGTTTCCCCAGGGATTCGTCTGACCTGGGCCAAAGAACAGGTCGGATAATTAAAAGGTGTTTCTGGTTGTCTTTGGTCTTAATTTATTGTTATCACTGTCATTAATACTCATAATTAAAAATTGGGCCAGTGCCAGGTGTTTTTCTAATTTGTTTTAAATTAATATTTTGATTAGTGTTTTTTTTTTGAAAGTAGGTTTGTTCCAATTTTCTCTTGAAGAAAAAAGTAAGCAAGTAGACAGAAAAAGGTACAGAAGCAACTAAATTGATTTAAAAGTTACATTTCCAGCTGCTTATTCCTTTACTCTGCACTGTTTTCTTGGATTTCCCACTACAAGAAGGTGGTGTGTATGTGTGTGTTTTGAGGGGGGTTAGGGAGGAATCCCAACTACATTCTGTTAAGTATTTTTCCTTTTGATTACTCTGTGCTTCAGATCACCTACAGCCCGTTTGAAATGTGGGTTTGTACACGGTTAAAGGAGACAAACAATAAAGAAAACGCCCAATTTCACTTCAACAGTCTTTCCCAAGTAGAAAGCAAACGCTCCTTCCTTGTGGCTCCTAAGTGGCTGTCACTGGCAGTGCCTGTTACAATAACAATCGCAACAAAAGTATGTGGAGGAAATTAAATTATACGGAAATCAATAGCGTCTGACTGCTTCAAACAAATGTCTGTCACTATGATTATTCTCAAGGATCCCATTTATAATTCTTAAAAGTAACAGGTTCTCACCGAAAAGACATCACCTTCTTCATTTATGTGTTGTTATTTATACTGTATACAAAGGAATGTGCGGGCATAATTTAGCATACAAATGCCCAGCTGTATGCATTGTATAACGTCTCGTTAGACACTCAGGCATAGATGTGTACCAAACTAATGGGTATATGTGTGTTTAGATATGTAAAATCTATATTCAAGATACATAAAAATTCGAACATCTCCAGACGTGTGCACATGCATCTCCCCCCTCTTCCTTCCTTCCTTCCTTCCTTCCTTCCTTCCTTCCTTCCTTCCTTCCTTCCTTCCTTTCTTTCTTTCTTTTTCTTTCTTTCTTCCTTTCTTTCTTTCAGAATATAAATGGTACATACAGAGAAGATAATATTTCCTTTCTGAACCTACAGGTTTTATCTTTATAGGATAGCTGTGGGAAAAGGTGATATGTTTAGTGCGCATGTCTTGCAGCCACAGGTGTAACACCTGCACTGTCCTTCCTGGTGGTCATTATAAGAGCAGCTCCCACGCTCCGGCACCCGCTAGACGTGCAAGTGCGCAAGAAGATGCAACAAGGCACAGGGAGAGGGAGGGAGAGGGAGTGAGAGAGAGGGCGAGAGACAGCCGATGTCTATCAAAGCGGTGGAACAACAAGCTCTCGCGAGAGATTGCCGGGCTCTAGCAACGAGATGTGGGGGCTCAGGTGTAAGAGGAGCGCATCTCATCCTAGCACTAGGATAGAGCAGATAGATAAGTGAGACCGAGAAGCTGGAAGGAGGCACACTGTGCGGTCCTAGGGAGCTCCAAGCTTCAGCAGCAGCAACAGCAGCAGCAGCTTCAGCAACAGCGGCAGCAGCAGCAACAGCAGCAGCAGCAGCATCAGTAGCAGCACAGTAACAGCAGCCGCAGCAGCAGTAGCAGCATCCGCCTCCACCACTACAGGAGCTGGTACTGCTTCTTCATAACCATCCCGAACAAGAGGAGAGTATCAAGAGCACTTTCCCCCTTACTTTGGGAGTGTTTTTGGATTTACATGCAAAGCCTTCAAGATGATGTCCATGAACAGCAAACAGCCACATTTTGCCATGCATCCCACCCTACCTGAACACAAATACCCCTCTCTACATTCCAGCTCCGAAGCAATACGAAGAGCCTGTCTACCAACTCCACCGGTAAGGGAAACCCCCCACCCCCACCTCCAGCTGCTGCAACGCCTTTCCCTCGCTTTCTCTCTCTTTCTCTCCTTCTTCTTCCACTCCCTCTCTCTTTCCTGTATACTGCATGTATGTATGTGCATTAATAAAAAAATCGCTGCGAGGCACATTTTGACAAGCGGCGCTTAATGTTTTTTTCATGTCTTCCTCTGCAATCATCTGAGCGCCTGTGATCTTTTTTGAAAGTGGTGTTCACATGAGATTCCGACTTCATCCACTTTCTGTATTAATTTTTATGACTCGGCCTCTGAAAGGAATTTTCTTTATGTGCTCTTGTGTTTGACACAATTCCCCAGCTGAGAGTTACATATCCATTTCTTCTTCTTCTTTTCTCCCCTTCTCCTCTCCCCAACCTTTCCTCCTCCTTTCCCCCCTTTCTTCTCAATGTTTTCATTTTGCCCATTCTCTGACTTGTTCTCCTCTGTCTTTGCCTCTTCTCCCTTCATCCCCTCTCCTTTTGCTCCCCTCTCTTTTAATTTGCCCCTGTTCTTCCCGTCGCTCTTATTTTAACCCCCCACCCTTCTTGCTTTCATTCCTTCCCCTTGGCCTGCCCTCTGCCCTCTATTATTTGGTTGCTTTTTGTTTTGCCTTTTTGTTTTGTTTTGTTTTGTTTTGTTTTTTGTTTGGTTTCGTTTATGTTGATTGCAGCTGCAGAGCAATATCTTCGCCAGCCTGGACGAGACCCTGCTGGCCCGGGCCGAGGCTCTGGCGGCCGTGGACATCGCCGTGTCTCAGGGCAAGAGCCACCCCTTCAAGCCCGATGCCACCTACCACACCATGAACAGCGTGCCGTGCACCTCCACCTCCACCGTGCCGCTGGCGCACCATCATCACCACCACCACCACCACCACCAGGCGCTCGAACCCGGCGACCTGCTGGACCACATCTCCTCCCCGTCCCTGGCGCTCATGGCCGGCGGCGGGGCCGGCGGCGGGGGCGGCGGCGGCGGCGGGCACGAAGGGGCCGGAGCGGGAGGC